GGTCTGAGTCTGTTTTTCCAGCCCAGCGGGTGGCAGAACTCACCCAAAGCTGTGTAGAAGCTGCACAGGAATCATAAGAAGACCCTGAACTCATTATTAACTTGACTGCAAACGGGATTGAATCCGAGTACAGTCGTCCCGTAAACTGCATCATGTTGTGCGTTAAAAGTATTGTTAAAAGTTAGGTTGTAAATTGACATCTGTGGTTCCATTTAGTAGTTCCAAGAAACAGAAAAACAAATTATTGAAGGTCTGTGCTGGTTTTGGTAAAAAATAGATATAAATAAAAAAAGGGCCAGACCCACTGAATATTTCCCTAATTAACCTCTGACCCCCTTTAGACCGGTGGGCAGAGGTGGGTAGGACACCTGTGCTCTGTTCTGTGTTCTGAAGCTGCTTTTCTGGGATGTTTCCTCTCCAGCAGGGAGCAGTGTTGGCCTTCGTTAGCGTCAGATCCCCAAAGCCTCGTCGTCACTTTTCCACTTTTCCAAACACAAAATCGGCTGAAATCCCTCAGACAAACGTCCCAGTTCAGATTCCTCCAGCGGGATGGGATGAAGATAACTGAAAAAAGGGTTTCAAACAGGCAGAAATGTAAGAATGACATGTTAAAACTCCTCAAAAGATCCAAAACAGAATTTATTTCTCCTTAACCCTGTAATGCCAAATGTATCATATTTGATACGTACGGTTTCTGAAATGTTTTGCGTCTGACACCTTTTGCATAATTTAATGGTAAAAACTTTGCTCAAAATCCTATTGTACACAATCAGATACACCTGATAACAGGGGGCAGAAGATTACACAAAAATAATCTTGACCTATCGCACAGTAAAAAATTATTAATATCAAAAATGTATTTCTGTTTTTTCTTTTTACATATTTTGTTGAAAGGCCAAATAAAGACTCAAAATTTTCTGTTTTGTTTTATTCTTGGATCAGGCTTTAAAGGGTTAATGAATACAAAACAGAATCAATGCCAACATGAACGAACGCACACCGACACACACACACGGAAAATGACTTTCTATGATAATAAGCTACTTAAGTTGCATTTTTTCATATTAAATGAGTTACTGATCACCCACAAAACAGCCTAGTTTGAGTCTTTCCCAGACCTTTTTGGTCTCCTGTAAGCAGAACTTTACCTGTTTTAACTCCTTACCTGTGGAATAGACACCTGTCCACAGACGACCAATCAGAATCCGGCCTGCAACCAGGTGAGAAAACCAAAGCAAAAAACACACACAGGCATTGTCAGTGGAAGATTAGGGACCCCACATCCACCCGAAACAGCCCCGCCCACCTCCGATATGACAGTGGAGGGAGCTTAATCTTCAGGAGATTGCCTAAAAAGAAAAATTATCCAATTACAGAGTGGTGGCGATAAGTTTGTGTCTTCCAGGAGGATCGGATGGAAGAAGTTTGGGGAGATGATAAACAGCATCTGAGAGCTTCATCTGGAGAAGATGAGCACATTTTTCTGCATGAATTCCTGGATTTCCTGTCGGGTTAAAAATACCTTTGAGCCATGGCTTTGAATTTGGATGCTGAAAAGGTGTGCGAGAGCTAATGTTGTCATGCTTTAAGGTGATTTTTTTTGAAAATGTGAAATCCAGGAGCGTGGCAGCATCTCCTGTTAATGTTATCGTGCAGGAACAGGGGAAGAAATGATGAGCTCCAGACCAAAATAATACAGAAACCCCACTGCATTGTGGGCTTTGTGCTTTGTTTCTTTGCAAAGGGACTTTTCTCCATTCAACTCTTCTGTGTGGGCGGGATTTTTTTCCTGTTGGAAAATCAAATAAAACCCTGTAAAGATTCATTTGAATTTGAGTTCTTGACTTTTCGCTAAATTGAAGAACTGGGAGTCTTTAAACACACTTTCTTCCAGACTGTTAGACCAACGGACAGAGTTTGTTCATGCATTTAATTAAAATTCTCTTTCTTTTCCCCCTTTTTTGGTAGTTATTTTATACAGCTTGTGTATTTTTTCCGAGTTTCTGAATTTCAAAGTAGCTTAATAATATTCTGGATTAGTTTAAAACTGGGTTACAATGTAAATCTTCTCTTACTCCGAGCAGAAAGTCTGTTATACGTTTGGTTCCTCGAAATGTTGAAGTGACAAGTTTTTATGTGTTTTGTAGCAACTTTTGGCTTCTTCTTTCTTTGGTTTCTCCAGTGGGACTTTTTCCTAATTGGAAAAAGTGGAGATTTCTGCCTTCCTTCCAACTTGATTTCAGGTTTCTTTACACATGTACGGATTTCATAATATAGAAAAGTCTCGTCCCAGTTTTGAGTTCTTATGCAACCAGGTTGTTGTGAACCTCGAGTGTCTAACAGAGCTGTGAGCACTGAGATAATTGGTGTTAAATCCAGAACGGCTAAATCGTCTCGGAGATAAGAAGGAAATCCCACGAGTGAGAAACTGCTGAAACTTCTCTGGAGCTCATGTTAGAAACGGGAAACCGTCTCAGAGGACGTCCGTTAGAGAACCATTTCAATCTGTCCAGATGTTTGCTGCTCTTTCTAGTTAACAAAGGAACGAAAGCTTACCGAATCCGATTGATCATTTTAAAACACTCAATATGTCCAAGTTAAAGACCACCAGGGATCAGTGCTTTTGTGTTCCCCACCACAATCCTTAGCCATTTAAAAATGGCAAAAACTGTCCAGACTACTTGTGTGCAAAGGTAAGAACCGATCAGTCAAAGTGTGTTCAGCCAGAGGCTTCTTCAGCCAAAACATCAGGGGAGGCCTCATCTGCCCACAGCTTTAACTCTTCTGTTTAACCCTGTAATGCCAAATGTATCATATCTGATTCATACGGTTTCTGAAATGTTTTGCGTCTGACACCTTTTGCATAATTTAATGGTAAAAACTTTGCTCAAAATCCTATTGTACACAATCAGATACACCTGGTAACAGGGGGCAGAAGACTACACAAAAAATAATCTTGACTTATCGCATAGTAATAAATAATTTATATCAAAAATGTATTTCTGTTTTTTCTTTTTACATATTTTGTTGAAAGGGCAAATAAGGAATTCAAACCGAAAGAAGTCATTTTCTGTTTTGTTTTAGTCTTGGATCAGACTTTAAAGGGTTAACAAAAAAAAAAAAATCTAAATTATATGTTTTTTCTTTGGCATTTTAAATATTTAGCAAACCTTTGACCTACTTACCCACTTACTTGAATGATTGTATTGTAAATATTGCACATTACAATTGATCATTAAAGTATTAAAGTATTTCTGATTCTGATCAGTTTATATTTATTGTATCACACAATTTTCTTATTATATGTATAATTTATCGAACTTATCTAATGTATGTCTGTCTGCACAGGAAAGAAGAAACTAAATTAAATTCTTTGTATGACCAATGCATGTAAAGAAATAGACAATAAAGCCTACTTGACTACTTGACTTGACTTGACTAATGTCTTTCTTTGTAGACTTTTAAGGAAGCTTTTTCCTGAATCCAGCCTCTGATTCTCTGAGGAATAATGGAATACTTCATATACAGTGACAGTAGTGGAGTCTCCAAAGGAGGTTATAATAAAAATATCCAAATCCGAAACACTCCAGAGGAGGTAAAGATGACTAAAACTGGATCTATTTGACAGTATTGTCTCCCAAAAAACTGCTGTATGATTTGGTCTGTTATTAAACCTGGTACCCAAATTTCTTATGTAACAGATGAGAAACTCCCCCAGTTACTCTCTTCACTTAATCTCTTCCTCCCACTCCAACGTCCCCATTTAAACCCTAAAATGTATAAAACTGAATTAAAAAGTCTAATAAAGTCTTTACTTTGGGCATAAGAGTCAAACCCCCCACTCATCCCTCCCCCTGATGCAGATTAATTACATATTCTAGCGTTGGTTGTTTTCACTTGAACCGAACCATCGGAGAACTGAATAATTGACGTAATGTTATTCTGTTTGGTGACCAGAGGCAGAGTTTTGTAACATACAGTAACAATACAGCCTGAGGAGAGACGAGTCACAGAAATAAGAAAGATAAATCCCTGTAGAGGAAAATGTTCACCGACTGGATCCACACACATTTGGAAAGTGGAGCAGCAAGCA